TACGTCTGATCGGCAGCGTCTTTGACGGTTTGCACCCAGGAATGCGAGTTTCCAGCCAAGTTACCAGGCGCCCCCGCAAAGCAAAATCAGTCCATAAAAATCCCAGTCACTCTTTTAAGGTGGCTGTGCCCCAGAGCCCTGCGCCAAAGGGGGACGGGGCTGCTGACCCACAGACCACCACTCCCCATCGAGGCAGTATCCGCAGGAAGACTGGAAATCCTTGGCCACAAAACACAGGGAGACTTTTGGGGTACTGATGAGGAGCAATCGACAGCAAAACGTGCCCTGGTGCTGGGGTGAGGCAGCCCCTGTGCTGAGCCAGCCCCGTCCCAGCGTCCCCCCGGCTGGAGGAGCCCCCAGCAGCAATGAGACTCTCCCGGAGGAAAACAGGCACTGCTTGAAGCTCCACTCTGCTTTTGCAATTAATTAAGGTGCCATCACATGCCAGCAGCTTGCATGGTTTATAAACGTGCCTTTGCTCACATCTCTGGCCCCTCTCTTGACGGCCATCTCAGCCAGCCCCTGCCTGCCCAAGGGATGTCCCTAAAACAGGGTTTGTCACCTGGTGGGCGAGAGCCCGTCAGCACATTATAAACATATTTGGTTTTATGTAAAGTCCGCAGAATCAGGTGCCAGGCATTTAACAACAGCCAGCACACCTCACCTTTCAAACCACCCAATATTTATACAGCTGATTGGTTAATAATGGTTCACTCACCACTCCTAACTATACATATGCATCTAAGCTCATGGTTAAAACATTTAGGGAGGTACCCAATTAGCATGCTCATCATTCACAAAAGGGTGTGCATTTCAGCATTATAATTACCCAAGGGTAGTTTGGGATACACTTTTAGCTCAAATTTGGTCCAGAAGTTATATTTTTGCTGTCTAAGCCAGCAACTGCAGAAGAACACATAAGACATATTGTTTTGTTTCGCGTGCTATTCAAGGTTGGGTAAGTTCCTTGATGCTTCAACCATGTCCCTGACTGAAACTTCTTGATAAACTTTTAACTTTGTTTTTTTCAACATGATGAGGGACTCAGCCGTACCCAGAAGGAGATGCGTTTCCCAGCAGGTTTGTCCCCGCTGTCTCCCACCATCCCGCTCATTCCCTGGCCGTGGCAGGCAGCAGCTGGTGCCAGGCGGGATGGGACCCCCTCAGAACAGGAGGAACATCTTGTTTAAGCCAATGTCCGCTGGGACCTGCACAGCACAGGGGCAAATCCCGCTCACCTTCTTCGTGCCTCACTGCCTGCAGCACGTATTTGGGATGCACCAAAGCTGGGGGGTTTCAGGCTAACACCATCGCATAGACAGGTAACATCATTTATCATATGGTTTTGTGGTTGTTTTTTTTTGGGGTTGGTGATGGACCTCACTGCCACAGCCAGTAAATGTCTATAATTTACTCATTGAGATGCTGGAAACTTTTTTTTTGGCCCTGAGATATTTTTGTTTGTTGTCAAAGGGAACTGCTCTGCAGCATCCTCGCCCTGGGGCAGGAGCTGCTTGGCTGGGCAGGGGATTAAACCCAAGGGAAACTGGGTGGGGGGGCAAGAGGAGATGCACGACAAAAAGCTCACGGTTCAGCTGTGCAGACCTTACCCTCCCAGTTATTTTCAGAGAAAAAAAAAATATCTTACTGAATTAATAGAGGAAAGGCCAGCTCAGCCCAGCCCAGCCAGCAGGGCTGGAGGAAAATCTCCACCACAGCACTTGCCTTTGCAGCTCCCTTCTCTGGACATCCAGCAGCATGGTTCAGGAAATAAAGAATAATATTAGTAGGGGAAAAAAAAGGAATCAAAAGGCAAATGGTTTAGGCAGCTCCCCCCCCCCAACCTGCCACGCCAGGGCCACCCTGCCCAGCACTGGGGGCAATATTTTCTCTACAGACCAAGAAATGGTGTATAGGAGGATAAAGACATTTGTCACCAAGAGACCATTATTTTTGTTGACTCCCAGGCTACATCATACACTGTTCATGCTTACCCGACTCTCACACGTTACAAAGGAATATGTTCAGCTCCTAAAAATCTCAGAGATGTAAAAGGATCCTCCGGCATCAGTTGCTTGCAGGTGACATGCAGAAGTATGGGAGTCCTGCTACTGCCAGGTTTCCCACTGTCTGCACCCTATGGCAAGGCAGGACAGAGAAATTAAAGATAAGAGGGGAATTCGGGGTTATGGGACAAGGAATACAGAAAGATAAAATAAAAAAGTTCAGCCTGAAGAGCTGTAGCTCCTCCCGGTCACCCAAAGCCCGGGACCGTCCGTGCCAAGGGAAAGGGCACATCCAATCTTCCACCGAGCACTGACCTTGCCAGATCTACTAAAAGTTCATTAGGGAGGTGAAAACTCCCGTTGTTTTCTGAATTTTATTTGATTACTGTGAAACAGAAGACGCTAGCAAGGAGAGAGGGTTGTTTTTTAAGTAAGGATCCTGGAGCCTGGGGAGAAAGACAGAGGGCGGTTGCAAAACAAAGCTCCTGTTAACTTTGGTCCTGACTTTCAGGTCACGCATGTTCAGTTCTTTTTACCTGGAAATGAAGATGTTAATTGGAGCCGACAGCCTTCATAGGTTTCCCCATTAGCAATATTTTTAGCCGCAGTAGGGCCCAAGTCTTCAAACGCTTTCCCAAGGGAAGGTTTTAACCTTTCTTTTGAAACATCTCATGCCACTGGCAGGGAAAAAAAAGAGGTTTTTTGGCTCGAGGCGTACCGAGCCCCAGCAGTGAGGAAATCCCGGCTCCTCTGAGCGGGGGACACGGGAGAAGCAGAGAAAAGAAACTGGGAAGAAGTAGCCTGGAGCCCGGAGCAGAGCTTGGCACTGCGCGGCAGCATCACCCAGTGGGGCGGCCACCCCTCCGGCACCCCGACCCTTCCCATTTGGGTGACGGGCTCCGGGCACAGCTCTGCAGGGTGTGCTGGCTCCCGTCCCCCGCGGTGTGGCTGATTTCCATTACGGTGATGGAACCATGCTTCAGCCCCAGGAGCCAGTCAGACACGTGTCCCACGCCACACAGATGCCCGACCCTCCTTGTGCCAGCAGCAGGCACAGCCGGGCACATCCATGGATGGCTTCTAGGGCAGCAATTAAAATGGCTCCTCAAGCCCTTTTTCTGCCACAGATCGGATCCTACACATCAACATTTTATTAGCTTGTTGGATCCAAGAACATTTGGGGTTTTTACAGCTGGTTTCTTTGCATACAGTTATCATCTATGTGTAATTTACTGTTTTCAGATGAAGCAAAAGCCTCAAAAAACCACATTCAACACTGTCACCTGCCCAGGACTGAAAATTATGCAACATGCTTAATTTCCATATAAATATATGGAAAATGTGTTTTTATATATATATATATAAATATAAATTTGGTAAAATAATATCTTCTCATTTATATATATTATTCTTTTTTATATTATATTAAAAATATTTAGATATAAATACATAATAAGGGATGACAGTATTTCCTTTAGAAACCTGCTCCAACACACAGTCCACTTACAACACCACCATTACCCCCACCGAGTTTTGCAGCTTCTCTCCAGCTGGAAATGTATTTTAGCCGAAAGCCGTGCTGACACCCGAGGAAGCGGTTATACACTCCCAGCGGAGCCTTCATTATTTACCTCATTGTATCCAGTGTAATTGCTCTGGAAAGTCTTCGTTTTGAAATTTTATGTTTCCAAGACAGTGACATCAAGGGAGACCAGACAATTTTATGAGGATGGTTTTACTCATCTTTGCAGGCAGTGGCCAAGGGCTGTCCCGGCTGCTTTGGTGCCATGAGACCCCAGGGCTTTGCCAGAACGGGGCAAAAGGGACACATCGCTCCCAGGAGAGGGCAAGGGGCCGGAGAGGGATGCAGCCCCCTCTGCATGGGGCTTCTTGCAAAGCCACCTGGATGCCACAGGGCTGTGCGGGACTGGGGAAAGGGGCAGGGGGGGTCACCCTGCAGGGAACACTGGATTTACTGCATTTGGCAGAAAAGGAGAAGCATGTTTTTGCCTCCATAGCACTGCCCTTCCCTTGGGCACTGGCACCACCACAGCCCCACTTACACCCAGTCCTCGCAAATTCCTCCACGTGCAAGTAGGAGGGTCCCATCTCCCACTGAGCACCCAAAACAAGGCACACTGGGGCTGCCGCAACAACACACACCTCCCCAAAAAATTATTTACCTGGTAGATAAAAGTACCTCTGTAGTGCCAGTGCAGAACAGGAGAACATCAGCAACGGTTGCAGGAAAAAGCACCATCCCAGTAGAAAACAGAGCTGCACCAAGAGCTGTGAGCTCTCCCCACCCAGGAAAGGTTTGTGAGGGTGGGCTGACCCCCAGCTGGTGTGCATCAGCCCTTCACCCACCTTCCTTCCTAACTCGCTCAGCCCAAAGCAGCCAGGGCCAAACCCTGCCCACCTGCAGCGGGCATGGATGCTGCGATGCTGCAGGGCGCTAAGCAGCCCCATACACCCCGTGTGTGATGTGAGACTCCACGTCCCCCGGGAGTTGCTGCTACTCGAGCACTAGAAAGACAGAGGAGCCTCCACCTGCTGTTTGCCCTTTATTGTAGCGGAGAGAAAAATAACGCACACAAGAGGCATTTTGCATAACTTAACAGAAATAACACTTTTCTTCCACTCTTCACGGATCAATGGGCAAAATAATTTCCTACACAGAGCTATTTTTTTTGTGCTAACAGTTTGGTGTATTGATAAAATCACGGGTTTCCTCTAATACGCTGCAATAGTTGATCTGGAACCCAAAGCTCAGGCTTGGGGACTCCTTTGCTGTTTAACACAGCTCCCGTCGCCGTTTGCCTATGGGGAGGGTGAGTGCTGGGTTGGTCCCTGCAGCGCTCCCAGGAGGAATTTTCACAGCCGGGGTCTGACTGGGAATGCTGAGCAGCTCTGCGGCTCTCACCACCCGTGCCACGTCCCGGCCGCTCTTTTTTTCTGGAGAGGTGACCCAAAATGAGGGGGGCGCGGGCAGCCTCAGTCCAGGGCCAGCGAGGGGATCTTGCAGACGAAGGGGAAGGCTCTGCCACAGGCGTTGTCATTCCAGGAGCGCAGTGCTACCTCCCAAAAACACAAAGCGTTAGCCAGAAAAAGGGCACCAGGAGGTAACCATGCACCGCCCTCAGGACTGGGACCTCCTGCCGTTGCAGGAGGCTTTCCCTGGATGTGCTCCCATTTGGGCTGCTGCCAGCCATGCCCCCTCTCAGAATCCCCATGCCTGTCCTGGGGATGCTGATGGGGAAGCCTGGCCCCAGCGCAAACACAGGAGCAGGGAGGCTGCTGCAAACGCATCCCCGTACCACACAAAATATCACCAGGTCACCCGTGGATGTGGTGGTCAGGTATGTCCATGAGGTCTGGATACACCTGAGTGGTCTCACTGGCAATGAGGGTGGGAGGTGAGATTTTTGCACAAGCAGGAACTCCCCTGCTTCAGCAAGAACCCTCTGGTTGCAGTTAGGGAGGGGAAAGCTGGCAAACCAAAGGGTGTTTCCAGGGGCTGCATGTGGGAGGGGAAATCAGAAACTTTGACCTTTGGCTAAATTCAGTAATTCTTCAAAGTGGGTGATGCTGTCCTCCTGCTACTGCTATGGGAGAGTGAGATGGGCTGTGA